GCAAATATTATGCTAGAAGAGACGTGTCCTACCCATATTGATATGTGATATGTCGACCAATGACAGCACTGCACTACACTCAACTGGCTATTAGATAACAGTTCTGAGACACTGCAGCTATTCTGTTGCCACTACTGCAAGAAAATGGTGAAAACAAAAGAATTGTCGAACGACATGCGCAAGAAGATCATAAAGAATCACAAAGATGGTAAGGGATATAGAAAAATCGCTCAAGATTTGAATTTGCTTGTGAGTACAGTTGATGCTGTTGTTCGAAAATGGAAAAAAATCGATACTGTTGAAAACATTGAAAGGAGTGGTCGTCCCCGTATCTTAAATGAGGCTAATGAGCGATAAATTTCCCGTACTGTGAAGAAAAATCCATTTTCAACTCGTCGAGAAATTCAGAATGATTTGAAAAATGCCGGAATTGAAGTTAGTAAAGATACAATTAAAAGATCACTGAATCGTGCAGGTCTCACTTCAAGATCACCGAGAAAGAATCCATTACTGAAACGCCGACATGTACAAGCCCGTTTAAATTTTGTTAAGAAATATGAAATTGAATCTAATGATTTCTGAGAGAAAGTAATTTGGTCAGACGAAACGAAAATTGAGCTTTATGGACGAAAGATGCGCACTCATGTATGGAGGAAAAAAGGAGTGGAATACGAGCCAGCAAATACCATCCCTACAGTCAAACATGGGGGTAGAAATATTATGATGTGGGGTTGTTTTTCCTCAAATGGAGTAGGAAAAATGAAAACCATCGAAAGAACAATGAATGCTGCAAAATACACTCAAATTTTGTCAACTCAACTCTTGAACAGTGCCACATCTTTGGGACATGGTCGTGATTTTGTATTTCAGCAAGACAATGAACCGAAGCATGTTGCTAAAACAACTAAGACTTGGTTTAATAATAATGACATTAATGTCCTGGAATGACCAAGCCAGTCACCGGATTTAAATCCACTCGAAAATTTGTGGAAACTATTGAAGTTACGAGTTCATAAAAGAAATCCATCGAATTTAAACAAATTGAAGAAAATTTGTGAAGAAGAATGGGTCAAAATACCAACAAGTACATGCAATAAACTAGTTGAAGACTACGGGAAACGACTGGAGGCTGTGAAGCAGAACAGAGGCTACTGTACTAAATATTAGTAAAGTGTGTTAAATACTTTTGCATGTAGGTTATTCTATTTATTGTTAATAAATGTTTCTCAAAACAGTGGTTTTAAATTTTCCTTCTATGTTTTGATGGACAATGTTCGTTTAAATATTTCCTATAAGTTTAGTTGAAATTGATCTGTTATTTTTGAGATATGTAAGAAAAAACCAATGTGTTAAATACTTTTTTACCCACTGAATATATATATATATATATATATATATATATATATATATATATATATATATATATAGAGAGAGAGAGATGGGGGAGAGATAGATAGATAGATAGACTATATTGTTCAAAAGTTGCTATATTTATCGGAGAAAATTGTACACCAACGGAGATAGAGGTTTATTGGTATAGATAATGTAAACATAAGAAGCAACACTGCATGTTGGCTGTCAGTTTCCGTTTTGGTCTGAAGATTGCATTGAAGCGGTCAACATACCGTGTTGATTCCTATGTCTACCAGCCTCTACTACATAAGTTTTAGTGTGCGTGTGTATGTGCATGCGTTTATGCAGGGTCTTCTGCTTTTTTCAAATGATTAAAAGCATTATGTATATTTTGAATTCATTTAATAATAGCTTCATCAAGAAAGCAAGGTAATATAGTAAAGTTTAATTACAAACTCATTAAAAGTACCCCTCCTCTTAAATAATTAAGAACAAAGAAGAATATTAAGAGGTTGGAAATGATAGGGTTACCTTGGGGCGGAAATAGTTAAGATGTGTCCCTTCAGAGGATAGTGTTTGAGACGCGGTTGAAAGTCATGATTCCGAGTGCTGATTACCTTGGAAAATTGATGTAACCCTATCTTATCTTCCCAATCCTTGTGCCTTACTTAATCAAGCAATATATATCAAGTTATATAGGTTTAAATGTTTTTGATGCAAAGTGTGTGGACCGCTAGACAGATATGCGTGTATGTGAGAAGCGACATGAGAACATGGCTTGTGAATACAAATATTTTTTTTTCTGCCCTTTTCTGTGAAATTACTTCACAACGACGACCTTGGACAGTGAATTCTAAAAATAAAGCCTTTCTGCATCCATTTCGTGTGTGTGTTTAATTTTCGCTTTTGTTCCTTTCTTTGATTTCATTCGAGGAGACTGCAAATGAAAACAGTAGTTTATTTTTAAAATCTCTCGGCCGGAAGTGCATGTTTGCGTAGGTTTCCTATTTTTTTTTCTTTCTTTTTTTTTTTTTTCGTCAAAGGCAGGTTGGGTATTGGGGTTTCTTTGTTCAAATTCTATTTTCGATCAATACTCTATTAAAGTGACGGTCGTCTTGAGACGTCAACTGACAACGCCAAAGACGGG